ATGCACAAAATGTTCAATCTGAACTTGCATGTTCTTTGGTATTTTGGCTTGAGAAGTTGAAACTAAGGAAAACAACTCTGAAAATTAAAATCAACTTCCTCTATGTATCTGGCTTATGCTCAGCCAGATGTTGATATCATCTTGGATAAGAATGTAAATATGACAGTTTGTTTTTCAGTCAGTAAGTCTTGATAAAAGTTTTGAAATGAGAACAATCAAAAGCAGGGGTCAACACACTTGCTCTACAAAGGACAGTCAGTAAATAACTTTGTGGGTCACATATCATCTTTGTTGTATATTCTTCGCTGTTTTCATCTTTAAAAACTTTTTTTAAAAGGTAAAAAAACAAAACAAAAACCCCATTTGGCCCATGGGCTACCCTGCATTAACTGACTCAAAGGCAAATGATCCCCAGACAAGAATACAATGTTACAGAACACAAGGCCTAAAAGGGTACTGCTGGCATTTATCCCAACCATCACCAGTGTGGGGCTACAAAAATGATTTCATGAGTTCTTTCACACATTGAAGGAATGTTGATGGCGGGGTGCACTATGATCTCTTGACCTGAAACTCCAGGCCTGGAAGAAAGGGCAAAGGCTGTGTGCCAAGTTATTATCCCCATATAGAGTCTCCCAGAACTGTTTCCCTTAACAGAATGCTAATGGAAGTGGAAACACCTTACCTCCCCCCACCACACACACATAATCTAATTACTCTCTGGAAAATGTGGCTTTACAGACAGGATCACACTCGTCTGCAATAATGAGAGGGATAAAGACTTGGGTTTGAAGCTTCACCAATGGTTCTGCTGAAGAGTTTGGCATTTGTAAGGCTGGGCCAGGGCGTAAAGTAGATAATTTCTACAACTCTCTGATGTCAAACAATGACTATACTAAATAATGAAACCACTCAGGAAATACCTAACAGGAAGAAGGGGGCGGGGAGGAGGAGAGACCTAGAAGGGAATTGGCTTAGAAGGCCCCATTACAGGGCAGAGTTGGGTTCTCTCTCTGCTCTACCAGCACCTTGCTCAATACCAGGCCATTTCAAGATGTCAGGGTAACTTCGTATCAATATTAAAATCACCCACATCCCACAGGAAACATAATATATAGTGAACAGTATCACCAGTTCTAACTGTCTTAATATTCTATTTAAAGGTATTTATCTGAGTGTTAATTATGATTATGTAAGGGATGGGGCTGAAGCTAATAAAAACCTTTTCAATTTTCCAACATATAAGCTAAAAAGCTAGTTAGTTGGTCTGGGGCATTACACCCATAATTTCAAGTGACTTAAAGCATCCTTACTCCACCATTAGCAGGTATTATCTGACTGATAGACTAAAAGATTCCGAGTAAGTCACGTGAAAGAAAATCTACCTTTTATCATGCCAAAGAACAGAAAGCATTCAAAGTGCCAAACCTTAGAGAAAGAAAAAGAAAGTAGAGGAGACAATTCTACCTAGAATCAAAATGACTGTCTCCTCTTCCATGCTGACCAAACCCCCATCCAAACAGTCTAAAGATGGAAGATTCCCGTTTTAACAAACACTTAAACACTGGCGAGACACAACTAAAATGAAAGCATTATCTTCATAGTAAAAAGCAGACACGGGACGTATCTGCCAAATACACACTCACACACCCCAGGCCTTCAGAAGGGATCCTTCCTGGGGCGTGGCGCTTATCAAGTCTGTCAGCAATGTTACAAGAAGACCTTGGCAAGGCCAGGAGTTTACACAAATGGACACTTAAATTATGATGGGGAAAGACGGGTTACCAACTGTCACCTCAACAGCTTCAGATCACCTGGAGATGCATCTGGGGCTTGGAGGGGAGTGACATGGTTGTTAGAGATGTGACTACTTCAAGTCTGGGTTTGTGGTCAATGAGGAGTCTGTGGAACTTCTCACAAGAGGGGGCCAACTTCACCCTACTGTTCAAGCGTAACTGCAACCGCCAAGCATCTCAGCTGCCGGTATGTAGGTTCTCTGGCTGTCTCCTACCACATCCTGTTGGAGCTCTGGGGCTAAGCAAGAGCCTGGGATTTCCCCCTCCTCCCTAGCAACTGAAGAAGAGCTCGAAGCTTCTTTTTCACCACATTCTCCACACAGAAAGTACAAAGATCAAGAGTTCCCATGAGATTCACCATGCAATATCTATCTCCTAATCTAAGCAGTTATTAATGTTTCCATAATTCCAACCCTCCAAATATGCTCATTTCAATCATTAAAAACAATCCACTCAAAAAAAAAGATTCTAATCCTTCACTGTGAAATGTAATATAACACACACACACACACACACACACACACACACACACACACACACACACACACCAGGAGGAGGGCTAGGGATTAAGTCCTGGGCCTCACCCATGTTAAGCATGTACTATACCACTGAGTTAAATCCTCCCAGAAAAGTGATTTTTTAAAAATACTATGGGGTTGGGGATTTATAGCTCAGTGGTAGAGCACTTGCCTAGCAAGTGCAAGGCCCTGGGTTCGGTCCTCAGCTCCGTGGGGGTGGGGGAGGTGGTAAAAAAAGAAAAAAATACTATGTTCAGAGGTAGTAAATAGCCTTACAGAAAATGTGGCACAGAGTGTGTGTGTGGGGCGGAGGCTGACTAGTAAATCTATTTGGGGGAATACAAAGAATTTAACAAACTGTATCAGTGAGATTTATTCACTTTCTTTTTATTTTTTCCTTTAAAAAGGTTTATGGGTATGTGTGTGCACCTGTGTTTGAGATGTATACACGTGAGTGCAGCTGTCCAGAGAGGCCAGAAGAGGCATCAGTTCCCCTGTAGTTGGAGTTCCAGGCCAGCAGGTATTTGTGACTGATGTGGGTGCTGGGAACTGAACCTGCGTCCTCTCAGAGAGCAGCCAGCACTTTGCCCTGCTGAGCCACCTCTCCTGCCCCAGTGTCACTCACTTTCAAGGCAGGAGCAAAGTTCTGAGAGTCACACACAGAGTAACCAAGGCCTCCCCACTCAACTCGTTAGAAACCGTCCTTTCCCATCTGCACTGCAGTACGCATTCAGCACTCAACAAGAGTTATTTGGAGTTTTGAAATTGATACCAAAAATGAATGTCCTTTAGTAGCTGTACCAGCTTCCACCAAGCCTCTTACAAATACACTTGCGAGATGCAAGATGACATTTAAAATCTGCTTCCTCAGAAAAGAAAAGTCCCACTCAAGACTAACTGCCAAGAACTTGCAACTCAAACTTCCTTAAGCCCAGACATTACAACACCCAGATTTCCATTCAGTCTGTATGAAAGAAACCAGAAGAAACCAAGACTATACCTACTTAAAAGAATATACAAATATTTAAACACAGATGTTGTTTTGTTTTTTTTAAATTCAAGTATATGAGTGTTTTTTTTTTCCCTGCACACATGTATGTGCACCATATAAATGTCTGGTCCCCATAGAGGCCAGAAGAGGGTGTTGGATCCCATGGAACTGGAGTTACTGGCAGTTGTGAGGTGCCAGATGGGTGCTGTGGACAAAACCTGGGTCCTCTGTAAGAGCAGCAAATCACTGAGGCAACTTTCCAGCCACTTAAACATACTTATTACCAACACACTAATTCTCCATTGCTTGTGGATCACTTTGAAAACCATTTGAAAAACACCTAAATAAGCTAGTATTAGAGGCTGGAAAAATCACCCACACAATCAAAAAGCTGATTCTTAGGGTACTTAATTGACTGCAGCAATTTAACAAGAAAAATGTTAAGGTTATTCTACAGAAAGTTTAAAACCAGTTTTGATTTGCTCTTCAGTTTATAAGTTAAAGACTCTGCTACCTGCACACAATGTCTTTTACTAAAAATATAAGAAGGATAGCTCCCAGAGAGAGTGGGAATCTTTTTTCTTGAATCAATTAGAAGTAATTGGGAAATATATAGTATGTTGTGATTCACCTAAAAAGTAATTAGAATCAAAGGAAACGATACAGGGGGGCAGGTGGAATTTGTACTTAATCACGTGTCTTAGCCATTACTAAATACTCAAGCTCAAGAATTTAAAAAGTTGAGACACACTGCTTCCCAAGGCACGGAGTGAAGGGGTGAACTTATTTTTCTGACCACATCATCCCCAAAAGTCGCCAGCCCCCTTAATACCTATTAATACACAGAAGAATTGAACACTCCATAGACATTACTCCATCATTAGTCACTTTTAAAATCCTGATTCAGAGAAGTCAAGAGAAAATGGAAACCAGCGTTCCTAGTAACTGGGGAAAGTCCTGCGCCCCATGTTTTCCATTTCCTCTCTCTTCTCTGCTCAACCCCTGCACTACATCCTCTGTTTCCGCTTCTCCTTTCTAGCTAACACCCAGCTCTCCTTCACTTTCTCCGCCAAGCAGCCTCATGCTGCCCTCTGGTCCCCCTGAGCCCTTCTCCCACCTACAATTTTCTTCTGCATTTTCTCTTGGCATCTCTGTGCACACCTTTATAGCCCATGTCGCTTCATCCCTCGCCTCCTGAACATTCATTCATTCCCCCTCAATTCCCTTCTGACCGCCTGGTCTCACTTCTCTTGTCCCTGGTGTCCACTGTCCCTTTACTTCATTTGAAGCCCCTCTTGAGTCCTCAACCCTTCATTTCCCCCTCCACATTTCCTTCCTCTTTCCTGTCTTTCTAATCCATGTTCGTATCCACTCTCCCCTCTTTCTCTCTTTCTGTACAATTTCCTGTGTTCCCCTGACTCTGTCCCTCTGGGACTCCTCCGCCGACGCCCCGGAGCCCCCTCGTGTCTCCAACACCCCTGGTTCCCGATGGCTCCGGTTCCCCTTCCTCGGCCCCGCAGCCCCGCGTCCCCGCCCGCCCCTCTCGCCCTGGCCCTGCCGGCTCGCACTGCCCTCTCGGCGGACCCCGGGGTCTCCCTCCCGGGGCGTCAAAGCCCTCGCGTGCCCTCTCCCAGGCCCCCGGGCACCCGCCCCCCGCGTCTCAGCTCCAGTCCCGGGCCGCGGCCGCTCCCTCACCGATGGTGGAGATGAAGGTGGTGTTGAAGGCGTCCTCTGAGAAGCGGAACAGGAGGCAGGTTTTGCCGACGCCGGAGTCGCCGATGAGCAGCAGCTTGAACAGATAATCGTACGTCTTCGCCATCTTCTCGCTCCGGCCCTCTCTGACCGCGGAGAGCAAGGAGGCGGTGGAAAGAGGCGCCGAGGGGGCCTCGGGCGAGGGGGCGTGTCCGCCGAGCCGCCCGCGCCCCGCCCCGCCCCTAGCCCCTCCCCTTGGGAGAGACCGGCGCGCCCTCCCCCGCCTTGGCCAATCCGCCGGCGCTTTGTCATCACCTTCCGCGCCGCGAGGTTTTATGGGATTTGTAGTACTCTGGGGAAGCCTCGGGCGTGCCTGGCCGGGGCTGTCCAAGCAACCCCGGTGGATAACAAATCTGAGTGATGTGGGGCGGTGCGCTAGGAGTTTCCACCCATACTGGGAAAAGACGCTTCGTTTCGAACTCCTCTTCTCTCGCCACGGGAACTTGACTTTGTTGTTTCTTTGTTTGTAGGCATCTTTCAAATCCAAGACTTCGGAATTTTAGTCCCGCAGTTCGCGCATCTAATTGCCTGGACCCGGAGCGGGGAAGCTTTTCTTAGAGATGCGGTGGTCCTCGAAGTCTCCGGATTATCTGTAGAGTATTATCCAGCTTCTCCAGTTCCTGTCCGGTTCCTAGGTCCCCTTCCACAATTCTTCAATCATAGGGCTCAAAGAGTGATGTTACCCGGCTAACTTCATCTCCACTCGTGTCCTCTGAACTATAGGCCACAGCCAAATATGATGATCATTTTAGAGGATCTGCTTCACAGACAGCGCCCTGCTATCCACTGGAGGATGGATTTCTTTTTTTCGTTTTTAAGAAGGAGAAAGAGAATGTGGGAGGGCTTGTGCTACAGCTCTGCATCTTGTAAAATAGCATCACCTGAGGCGGGAACTTTGGCCATGGAGATGGAGAGAATGAGATTTGGATTAAGTCGTGGCTAAGCCACTTCACCCCTGTGTGAAGTCTCGCAGGCTTGGCACATCTCAGTTTTCTCATCTGTAAAACTGATGTAAAACAAATTACTTCATAGGGTTGTAGTGAAAATTAAATACTGGATGTGAAAGCACTTTGAAACTCGTAAGGTGCTGTGAAGTGTAGGTGTTAGCTGTGTTTAAATTTATCACTCCTCGGGAGGCTTTCAATTAATGGGTGGCAAAAGGAAGGGAGGAAACGGCACTTTGATGTATTCAATTCAGTCCTTCATTATTTATTACCCTAGACTAATTCTTTATTGTTCAGTCCTCTTTTATCTGCAGGTGGCAGAAACCCAGCCAGATCAAGCTCCCGTGAGAGTAGGGTTTACCATCCCGGTCATATGGAAGGAATGAGTAAGAGAACCAGGAGCTTTATCTCTGTCCAATCTCTGCTTCATTTTCCGTTTTAATTTAAAAAGTCAAATACCAACAGCCAACACAGCCCCAACACACACACACACACACACACACACACACACACACACACACACACACACACTTACATTAGCAAAAGTCTTTGGATTCCTCAATAATTTTTAAGAGAATTAAGGAGGCCCTGCCGGACTCCAAACTATCTGGGAATAACTAGGACAGATACTTACCTTAGAGGCAAGGAAATACCTTCTAGCAGAGGTTGTTACAGGAAGCAGTGGACTTAATCATTAGTGCAGGAAAAAGGAAAAAAATAACTTGGATAGTTACTTGAACAAGTCAGCAAACTCCTCTAAGATGTATGTTGGATGCCTGTGACTCCATGTACAATATCAATGATGTTGTATGTCTGGTCCTATTGTAGCAGAAAATTTAGTTGGTCCTAATATTGACCTTCCCTTTCTATGTGGAGAGCAGATGAAAGGCATCATTCACACATATTTATTGACCACACAGTACCCAGAGGGCAGCAGCTGCTTCTGCTAACTTAGTATCTAATGTCTAGAGCATGCCTTAGGAAGAACTGAACTCCCTTTGGAGAAGGAACTCCTTCCCTCTGGCAAAGACAGAGCTCCTTTGCCCAAGCCAAGTTCTGAAGCATGCCTCTGAACTTGGCTTCACCCAGGGTCTGAGTAATTGTGGGTGGCTCAGTTCCATTCCATTGGTCCTCATTCGTGGAATAGAAGGAAGGAAGTCTTCAAAGACCACTGGAATCTTCTTAATTTATCTCTTTTAATTTAAATTTTTATGTTTATTTTCATTGTATGGGGGGGGGGGGGCTTGTGTCATGGCCTATGTGTAGAAATCAGAGGGGTGGGAAATGTGTAGTTGGAATCTCTCCTTCCATGTTTACTTAGGTTTGGGGGATCAAACTCAGGTCATCAGACTTGCATGCTGAGCCACCTCACTGGCCTGACCCTCTTCTTTCCTTTTAGGGGTTTGTGTCTATTGAAATACTTTGGAGGGAGGGGAGCTGGAAAGAAGGCTCAGTGGAGAAGAACACACTGGCTGCTCCCAGAGGATCCTGGCTGGGTTCCCAACACCCATGTGACACAACCATCCTTAACTCCAGTCCCAGGGAATCCAATACTCTCTTCTGGCCTCTGTGGGCACTGCACACATGTGGCACTGTGCACACACATACATGTAGCCAAAACACGCATACATATAAACAAAAATTTAAGGAAATAACTTTTGGTTCCAGTAACTTTCGACATAGTGGGATATGTCAGCTATTCTTTCTGTGGAAAGGTGCATACTTATACTTACATAGTAAAGAGCTAAGTTCAGAAGAGAAGTGAGAACTAAGAAATTCAAAGTCCCTAAATTTCCTTAGGGGAATTTT